CGTCAAAAAGCCTACCGAGACTGCACCGGCAGCCAAGTCACCACTCTTGACTGGACACAGGGTCTCAGTCACCTCAGACATGGACGATGTGTCGTTGGATAGTGGTGAGTACACCTACTCTGTTTGGCATAAGCCAGGGCTATGTGATGTGTACATGCTCGGCGAATCATGCTACAAGAGCGAGGGCGCCCCGCATTCATTCACTCCCTAGCCATAAATGCGTCATGCGCGACTGCTTGCTGGGCGCAGAACCTGAGCTGACTCCCTACAGAAGGCTCCAAGGCTGCCGGCATACTCCCCAAACTACCACCGCGAGACTCCCGAGACTCCACAAGCTCCGCAAGTGGCCTACAAGGCCTTTCCGGCACAATGGCACCCGTTAAATTCCCCCCTCCACCCGCACCGCCCGCCGTACAAGAGAAAGAGAAACCCGCGCCAGCACCGACGACTAGGAAGCTCACAGGCCCATTTGCGTGGCTTTCAAGAAATAGTTCCAGCAAGAAGCCCGAGTCTCCACCCGCGGCTACAACAACCGCAGAGCGACGCAATACTGGGGCATCTATCGCAACCATCGGCAGCAATCCTGAGCTCACTTTGAGCAGGATCGAAGACGAGGGAGACATGGGCGCCAAGAACAGATCAAGCCAGGGTAGCTTGCGAGATCGCTTCAAAATTCTGCGGATGAGAGAAGAGGCGGGCATAACACTGGACGACACAACCGGAGATGGCAGTCCAGCAGTGGCATTAGCATCACCAGGTCTCGGCCTCGGCATTGCTAGCCCCACCCCTCTTGCTGAGGAAGAGCCAGGAAGTCCTCCAGCGCTTGCAAAGCAACCCACAATAAATCCCAAGTTGGCCCCTGGTACTGCCTCTGGCTTCGCCGCTGGTCCGGCAGGAGATGCTGCTGAGCCTGTAGACTGGGATTTGTGGCAGTCAGTGGTCAACGAGGGTCCAGCCGCAATCGCGCGTACCAGCTCCGAAGAACTGAATCGCGCCATCGCCAGCGGTATCCCTCAAGTGATCCGTGGTGTGATTTGGCAAGTGCTGGCGCAAAGCAAAAGCGAAGAGCTGGAGAGCATGTACAGGGAGCTAGTCGCTCGTGGAACAGACAAAGAATACATGAGCGTCAGGAACAGCACTGTCAGCACCGGCCAAGCCAGTGCGAACGGAAAGGACTCGGTCGCTTCTTCCTCGTCTTCTGTGCATTCTGACTACTCGAGCCCGGCTACAACAGCTGCCAGCACGACTGCGCCATTAGGCTCGCCATCACTCACGTCGGACGAAGATCCCATCAAGGTACAAGCAAGGCTTGCAGCGGAAAAGAAGCAGAACGCAGCTACCATTTCGAAACTAGAGAAGGTCATCAAGCGCGATCTCGGCGCGCGAACGAGCTACTCCAAGTACCTCATGGCAGCTGGGCTACAAGACGGCCTTTTTGGCATCTGCAAAGCCTATGCGCTCTACGACGATGCTGTTGGTTACGCTCAAGGCATGAACTTCATCGCTATGCCTCTTCTCTTCAACGTAAGTTCTCAACTTCCTGACAATCGTCGCTCCCAACTGACTTCGGTAGATGCCTGAGGAAGAAGCATTTAGTCTCTTCGTTACGCTCATGAACAAATATCGTCTGCGCGACCTCTTTGTGGCCGATATGGCTGGACTCCATCTGCATCTTTACCAGTTCGAACGCCTCTTGGAAGATCTCGAACCCGCTCTCTACTGCCATCTTCGCCGGAGAGAGGTCAAGCCTCAGCTTTACGCAACGCAATGGTTCCTTACGTTGTTTGCATACCGATTCCCGCTACAGCTCGTCTTGCGCATCTACGATCTAATACTCAGCGAGGGTCTTGAGTCTGCGATCTTGAAGTTCGGCATTGTACTGATGCAAAAGAACGCCGAAACGCTGCTTGGTATGAAGGACATGTCTACCCTGACACAGTTCCTCAAAGAGCGACTATTCGATGTTTACATTGACAAGGCTCCGTCAGCCAACTCCATTCTTGAGAATGGCTTCTTCGGTTCGACGGCCGGTATCGACAAGGAAATCTACCGCGCCGATACTCTCGTCAAGGATGCGGTTTCTGTCAAGATCACGCCAGAGATGCTCAAGCAATACACTGCTGAGTGGAAAGAACAGCAACGCGTAGAGAAGGAACGCGAGACTGAGCTTCATGGACTGAAAGACAAGGTCACGCATCTGGAACAGAAGGTCCGGTCTCTAGAGCATCGTGCTGAACAGTCCGACATGGAACATGTCCAGGTCGCTTCTGAGCTCATCAAGACCAAGGTCGAGAATGAGAACTTCGCCGAAGAAAATGAAACGTTGAAGACCAAGGTCTTGGAACTGCAGAAGATCGTCGACACCCAACCTGCTGAGGTTGAAGCAAGACTGAAGAACGAAATGGAGACCGTCATGCAAAAGAACATTGTCGTCCACAACGAGAACCGCAACTTAGAGGATTCGATGGCTGAGATGGAGAAGGAGTTGGTCGATGTCAAGATGCAATGGGCTACAGTAAGTTTCAATCTGGTTCGATGCTAGGCACCGCTAACCAGTCTTCCAGATCAACGAAGAGCACGAAGCGCTCAAGCAAAAGTGGAACAATATTTCGCAGATGATGAAGTAAGCCCTATAGTGGGCTCATTGTTTGCATCAAAGGCATCGAGTTGACTTGCATACAGCACGCAAGCGCCGCCACCCGTTGGGGATCAGATCTATTCTGTCGCGTCGATCGCCCCTTAATTCGTTTCTAATGTCTATATACATGTCCGCCCCGTACAACAGCACTTCTAGCGGGGCCTTGTTGCGCGTTATGCTTTGGCATCATCAGTTTCGCATCACTATCTATACTTGTGGGTTGATGGGACGGATGGGGATGCCTTCAGTTGGATACGACCCGTGTTGGTTAGCTTGCATGGCATGGGAGCAAGGTGTTTAGGAAAGTGGTGACTGAATCAGCATATGTCTATCTCTATAGACTCATGGAAGGTGTTTCTCGCTGTGTTTCCTTGGCTTGTAGCATCTTTTGACGGGCAAAACGGGAGCCTAGTTGATTAGATCATCAATAGAAACACGACATGATTCAGCAGATATGGACATGCTTTTCACTAGCGATCGTGACTGTACTTTATCTTTATTCGAACGATTTTCAATCTACCATCTTCATTGTACCCTACAGAAGCTATGGTCTACCGACCATGACCGAGTATCAGTCTATGCCACATGAGGAAGCCACAGTGAAGCACTAGTCTTCGCTTATCTTATCGTGAACCCTGCAGGAAAAAGTTACCCAACCCCACAGTCATTCTGCAACTCAGATCGACGACAATACAATCGCAATTGAAGATGGCCGAACAAGCAACAGAAGAAGATATCCTCCTCGCCAAGCGCATCATCTCGGCGGCAGAGCGTCATGATGTGCCGGCGTTGACCGTCCTACTCAAGGATGGCTCGGCAAATGTGCAAGACCCCACAGCGACAGTATCAACATCACCACTACACGCAGCAATTGCAGCATGTGGCAAGGCTGAAGATGGAAAAGAAGCGGGCGACGCTGCCATCCAAACCGTAGAGACCCTTCTCCAAAACGGCGCCATCTGGAACGACCTCAACAAGGAAGACGAAACACCAGGATGCATCGCCCTCCGCCTAGGCCAAAAGAAGATCTACGACATGATGGTCGAAGCCGGTGTTCGCGCTGAGATCCTCTTCGCCCGCCTGGAAGCCCTCGGCATGGGCAACAACGACGTGGAGGAAGCATTCGAAGAAGATACCACCGAGCAGCCCGCCGCCAAGAAGCAAAAAGTCTCCGCCGAAGACGCCAAAGCCGTGGAACAAGTCGTCGAAGAGAAGGTCCTCGACGACGTCTCCCTAGACAACAAGGCATACCTGAAATCACAACTCCGCTACAAACCCGGCATCCTCCTCGACGAATCCGACAACGCCGTCATGATGGACTGGGAAACGCAAATCATGCAGCGCCACGCCGAGACCTTGATTCCCAAATCTGGTCTTCGCACTATGAATGTAGGCCATGGAATGGGTATCGTAGACACCGCGATCCTCACGCATGACCCCGCGGAACACCACATCATCGAAGCGCACCCGCAAGTGCACCAGCGGCTGCGTGAGCAAGGCTGGTACGACAAGCCCAATGTCAAGATCCACGAGGGGAGGTGGCAGGATATCCTGCCCAAGTTGGTGGAACAGGGTGTTGTGCTAGATGCGATTTACTACGATACGTTTGCCGAGGATTACAAGGCGCTCAAGGAGTTTTTCGCAGAGTACGTGGTTGCGCTGTTGGCCAAGGATGGCAAGTTTGGGTGGTACAATGGTCTTGGGGCTGATCGCCAGATCTGCTATGATGTTTATACCAAGGTTGCTGAGATGGACCTCTATGAGGCGGGCTTTGATACGCAGTGGGAGGATATCGATGTGCCGAAGGGGCTGCATGGGAGTGATCAGTGGGAGGGAACCAGGAGGCCGTACTGGACGATCGACGTTTACAGGTTGCCTGTTAACACTTTCGTTAAGTAGATAGCGAGTAGAGTGAAGGCGGACGCGTTAGTCGCAAGTCCAGGCATGACAGTAAAAAGACACGAGCGATGAGATGACGTCATGAAGTGTTTTATTCACCATGATGTAACCGACAAGTCTTTGACATCTATGCTTTGTCCTTCTGGGATTACCACGCAGAAAAGATAACGCCTTGTGACACTTATCACTATTCCTACAATCCAACACTATCCCACAACTCCTCGGCAAAGCTCCCCTTAGCAAGCATCCTCACCTCCACAAACTTGCCATTCACCAATGTCAGCCTAGCCCAAGCAACCACCCTCAACGCGTCCCGAACACTCCCATAATGCAATGCAAGAACGGGCGGCTCACTTTGCAAAAGCGTCAGACCGACCATCTGCCCCCACCGACCTAGATGCTTTCTTACGTCTCGTGCTGTTGTTCCCGGGGCGAAGTCGCGGGCAACGACGATGTAGCGCTGCTAAACTACGGGTGCATCATCATTGACGTCGTTGTGGGAAGGAGTGGGTTGGGTGGTTTCGGCGGGGGTATCTTGTTGGGCAGCTTCTTCGCCGGCAGGGGCGACTTGGATGTTGGAGCTGGCGAAGTCGTAGAATTCATTTTGGTCCGCGGGGAATGCTCCTGGCAATTCGTTGGTGACCTGATCGTTTGGTATATCAAGGGTAACCCGCATTTCTCCGTTTGCATCGAGAATGTACCTTGGATCATTGACTGCTGCTTCAGTTGGCAAGTCATCGAGAGCGGGTCCGTGTCCAGCGTCGATGTCCTCGTTGTCCTCGCGCTCAACGTTGTCTTCACCGTTATTTTCTCCCTCCTCGTCACCGTCCTCACCATCATCTTGCGGGTGTGGAGTCGGAGGCGGAGGATGAGGATTGAACTGATCGAATAGAATGCCCTGGTTTTCGAACAACTCGATGCGATGCTGATCCAAAGCATCTTCGCGGGGCCCGTGAGGAAGCATATTGACAATAGCGCGTTGGTCCGGAGTCAGATGTTGCAGAACTTCCCACTCGGGATCTTGCTCCTCACCTTCCTCCTCGTCATCTTCATCGTCGTCATCGTGACCCTGCGCCTCGTCTAGTGCACGAGCACGCAGGACTTCTTGACGACGAGTGAGACCTTCGCGACTGAGGCCACTATCGCGATGGAAGCCCTCCTGGTTGTATCCTTCCTCGTCGTATTCTGCGGGTCCGTATTGCGGGCAGCCGTGCATTATAGGCCAGTTCTCGCCGCAGATGTAACAGAATGAGTTGCCGCATTCGCACGTGATGTGATTGCATGCCTCGGCCAACTCCACGGTTGCGCCGCAAACGAAGCACTCTTGGTAACCCTTCTCGTTCGCAGTCTGCTTGAACTTCTTATCGTCTTCGTTCTGGTCGCATTTGTGGTTTTGGGTCCCTTCATCGAGCAACGACCTGCACTTTACACAAGTCAACTTTCCGCACTCTTCGGCCTCGCAGATGGCATATGTGATTTTCGTTTCGGGGTCTTCGACGTGGGCTCCGGGGGGTAGAAATTTCGCGCAAGCTGGGTTTGCGCAGTAGGTTCGGAATCTGTTCAAGTGTTAGCTTAATTCAAATCTGTTGCTCGCAGGTCGAGCTAACAAAAACTCAACAGATCTGTAGCCTACATCAACATGGAAACATGCAAAGCAGGTAACCTAACGTTGATGTAGGCTCCAAAACCGTTCAGGTTTTTCGTTCAGGACTTACTTTGCCAGGATTGTATACTCGCCCTGCTGCTTCACCTGGTACGCCCAAGAAACCTCCCACGGCAGATAGTCCTCATATTCGTCTAACACAAACATAACATCGCAGCACTGCGGTGGGTATAGACTCTCGTTGTTTGTCGCATTCTCGAAAAAGCTAGCAAGATCGTCGGCGCAGACCAAATGGCGGCGGCATGGAGCTTCGATAAGTAGTTCGCTTTCGCTCTCCTCTGTACCGCAGATTACACAGCTCTTAGACATAATGGCTGATGTGGGTAGAGTATGGTGTGAGTTCCTATCAGTTAAAGAGGGCCGCGAGGGTAATCGTTCGTGGGTAAGTCGCGCGCCGTGGTAGAGTGGTCGAGTGAGTTCGGTACCGGGCGCGAAATAGTTCAGGCGTGTGGAGATTGTGTAGAAACAAGGCAGCACGTGGAATGCGAGGCGCGTGACTAATTCAACGAGTGTGAATTCACGTGGAAGGTGAAGTGAATACCGACAGACTTGGACCCGACTAGCTAGCCCTGAATGCGGTGTGAAGGAAGCCTTGTACCTCTTCACATGTACTGATAACACAACGACCGATGAGTCCGATCGCAGTTAATGACCGTTAATTTGAATACAGACGGCATACACCAAATGGCGAAGAACCCCGGTTCCTTTATTGCTGTATGATATTCGAGAGAAAGATGGTGCGACAAAACTTGCGCAAGAGGAAGAACGTAAGTTGATGAATGCCAGCGGAGACATCAATAAGAACAAAGCAGCTCCCTGAGAAGATGTAGGAAGGAGGTGCATCCCGATATCAAAGCTCGAGATGCCCATAACGGGAAAGAGTTAGATTGCTGCAGGCAGCCACCGGCCGGGCGCAAGAGTCGACTCGCAAAGCCATGTGTGCAGCCTGGCAAAGACCCACACAGTGCGATGGCTTAGTATCCAGGCAGAGTCTATATGGGGGATGATGAAGAGTCCGTGGTGACATCAGGAATGTGTGGTGAATGAAGGGTCCAGAAATCGTGACGTGACGTCACGTGGAATCTTAGCCGGCCTGATCGTGCACGGACGCACAACACCGAATCGAGAGACAGCGATGCCCTTACCTGTCTCCTTCCAATGCACAACGACACATCTACGCCACATCATGTCTCGCTCAATCGCAACGTTTATTGGTTTGCCGGGTTTAGATCAAAATAGAAGTCGATCATCGTCACACGAATTGACGGGTGGAAAATTTGGTAAGAGGTCATAAGTTCTTGAACTGGGAGAAGGCCAGGATAATAAGTGGTATGTACAAGAATATCAAATTACATGACTCTCCTACGCACGGCACATACGTCCGTCTTTGCTGACCTTCCATGCCTCACTACCAACACCCTTGAGGATGTAGAGAACATCCTTGGGGTCGTACTTCTTCTTGATGTCCTTCAGCTTGTCATAGTTCTTTCCAAAGAATGTCTCCTTCCAGTTCGGCTGCTGGAAATCTGCCTCGTTCAGATATGAGCCACTGCCTGGTGTGATGGCTTCAATCTTAGGCATGAGCTCGTTGGTCATCTTCTGCTGAGCGGCCTCCATGGTAGCCCAGGGAGCGGTGGAGTCCCAGTTGGTGATAAGCTGCAGCTGAATCATGGCGTCTCTCCATGCGGGTAGTACGCCATTGTCGGCGACTCCAGCGGGCTTCTTGTAGTTTGCTGAGCTACCGGCAAGCAAGACGCCTTCTGCGGCAAGCTCTTGGTAGACCTTGACAAGATCGGCGGTCTTGTTCTCAACCACAGTTCGGGGAATGAGACGGCCACCAAACTGGTATCGGTTGACTTCGTATGCGCCGCGTGGGAGAGGACCCATGTAGCGATCGAAGTGGTCGCGGTAAGACAGCTCGCTGTAGACGATTGGGGGTGTGATACCGAGATTTGTAAGAGCTTTGGCATAAGGCGCAAGCACAACGTCCTTGACGTAGGCAGCTGTTGAGTCCCAGACGGTGACGGGCTTGATCACAATGTACTGAGTGCTGACCAAAAAGACGACCATAGCACCAGCGTCGATCATCGCCGGCAAGAGCTCAATCAGCTTGGCAGTTGCTGCGGCGTACTTCTCGGGGGTGGTGGACGAGGCGAGAAGCTGCATAGCAGCACCGCCAACCTGCTTGGCCGGGTATGCTCGCACAGTCAATGAGAGGACGATAGCATATGTGCCACCACCACCTCCGCTGAGAGCCCAGTAAAGGTCGGCGTTCTCGGTTGCTGAAGCAGTGAGCATCTTGCCCTCAGCAGTCACGACCTCGAAGGACAAAGTCTGATCAGCAGCAAGCCCGAACTCAGTGCTGAGCACCGAGTGTCCACCACCTTGGGTAAAGCCTCCTGCTAGACCAACAGTAGCGCATTCGCCAGACACAACACTCATGCCTTGCTTGTGCACTGCCTCGAGCAACTCGTTGCCCATCACTCCAGCACCAACAGTGACCGACGGGCCAGTGTAGTGCTCATCGGACCAGTCGCCGAAGGCGATGTTCTTGAGACTTTGGGTCCAGATGGCTAGAGCGCCGGCTCCGGTAGATCTTCCAAGAAAGTCATGCCCAGTGTTGCGCACCACGACCCGGATCTTCTGCGCTTTGGCGAACTCAAGAGCAGATACGACATCCTCCGCCTCGGTAGCTTTGACAGAGTACGAAACGTAGTTGCCCAGAGTGCACGGGATGCTCCTATCGGAGAATGGATCGCAGCTCTGATTGGCAAAGTACGACTGCATGATCGAGTGTGAAGACGGGGTGCTGCCAAGAGTATTAGAGTTCTACCCCAACATGTAAACGGAGCTCTTGCACTTACTGTATCAGCGGGTTGAGCCATGATGACTTCAATGCGTCGCAAGCGTCGGCATCGTATGTCGGGTCGTGACACGGGGAGCCAATTGGGACAGTGGCTACAAGCTTCCCGTTCACGGTCGAGTTCAGTGTCGACCACGCGTTATCGGATGGCCAGTCGGCATCGCTTGGCAGACGGTAACAATCCTGGGCGCTTCCAAAGCGAGCAAGGAGTAGGGCTCCAAGGAGCGGAGCGTTGTCGATGAGCCTCATCTTGTCTTGAAAGTGCTTGATGGTAGTGATGAATACCAAGAGCCTTGTCCCGACCCTCATATATAGCCATTGTTCCCCTTACTATCTTTTTTCGCATTGCCACATGCTATTCTTCTCATCTCGGAGACCATCTCAAAGCAGAAAACTTAGAATATGTCTGCTTCCTCTGTAGGCTACAGCGCCGACAGTGTCCACTTGAGACATTGTGCCACATGCCGGTATCAATGCAAGGTAGCCTTGTAATGGGCTGGAAGCCGGCGAAAACCTCGTGCGGGAATCGATGGCCGCAGGCGAGAATGTCCTACTGCAGGGCAGAGTGGACCAACCGATGAATGGGGGATTCGCCGGGTGGCCTAACGCTTGGGGGTGGACCCTCAACGACGGATTGCTCGCTAGGATTGACAGTGGTGAAACTATGGGAGTCGTCCTCAGGCGACGCGATGTGGCGTCAGGAACCGGCAGACGTGCAGATCTTGGCGAGCGTTCGTCGTCTTGGAACGTTCGGAGGGAAGCTCATTTCGGCAGCCGTACAGCGAACGGAGATGTCTAGGTGCGCACTGAGCAACTGTTATCGCTCCACGTGCTCGCCCGCCTCTAGGGCTCTGCCATTGCGCCATGATCATCATCGCCCTTTCTGTCACATCTTCAAAAGTCTAACAATATCCTCCGTTGGCCATGGATGGTGGAAGTTGTTGTTCAGGTTTTACCGTGGTTTTCGGTTGGCGTTCGTGGCGTTCGCAGGCCCATGACACACCGGACCGCACCCCACATTTCGCTGCACCGGCCGCCTGAACAAGGCAAGACCCCTTTCTGGATGACATGCCGCCATCTCTGATGGATGCTAGGTTCCGACCAAATATGCGCCAGCACTTCTTAACAAAGTTTGCGCTATTGGAATGCCATGGTCGGGTAGGCTTCTGCAGTCGGCACTTCATACCAATGACGGCAGCCACCATGGTAGCTACGACTCGTGGGTTTCAGTCCTGGACCTTACAAGAGACGCACTATAAACCGCACGAGGGATCCCTGCGTTCATCATATTCGAGGATCACCTTCCGTTTAGAGGCGGAAGATAAATGGTGGAACCTGTCCCGCTGTCGCTCTACTTGAGACCTCCGCGATATCCTACGCACCAGTTACAAACTCGGGGGTCCGCCCACCTGTCTTCAACATTCGGATTGTCTTGCGCAAACGAGGCGTGAGAGCATCAAGATGACCTCTTTCATTCGCACATGCATGCTGTTGTGGCTCGTTACCATCTCCATGGTACATGCAGCACAGCAGCCTACCCTGTCAAAGCTTCCCGCATGCGCTGTAAGTACCTTGCAGCCCAACTTCTTAACATCTCGCTCACCCTTGCAGCAACTGTGCCTCTTGAACGCTTTCGCTACGAACACCTGTTCTCCAACAGATCAAGCATGCATTTGCACGAACGATGTCTTCCAAAACAACGTAACGCTATGTGTGAGCGCCAGCTGCACCATCCCTGAAGCTCTAGGTACTTGCACCTATCCCGATAGAAGAGAACAAGAGACTGACATACATGAAGTTACGCGCAACATAAGCCTGACCACCTGCGGAGCCCCAGTACGGGATCGCGGACAAAGCTATGTCTTGTTGTCAAACGTCATGGTATGCATAGCTGCTGCCTTCGTTGCAATGCGTTTCACCTTCAAGGCCACCGTATCGAGGATGGAATTCGGCTACGACGACTGGTGCGTTCTGGCGACACTCATAACCGCTATACCCAGCGCCGTCATCACTGTCTTTGGCACTGTGAAGAATGGACTTGGCCAAGATCTCTGGACCCTCACCCCGACGGAGATCACTAACATGCTGCAATACTTCTATATCATGGCTTGGCTTTACTTCACGCAGGTCATGCTGCTGAAACTCACGCTGTTATTCTTCTATATCCGCGTGTTTCCAAGCAAGGGAGTCCAACGACTACTGTGGGGTACAATTATCTTCACCGTACTCTGGGGCGTCGCCTTCATCATCGTCGCGATATTTCAATGCCGGCCCATCCACTACTTCTGGACAAAATGGGATGGCATGCACGAAGGCACCTGTCTAGAGATCAACGCCATTACTGCATCGAACGCGGCCATATCTATCGCTTTGGACTTCTGGATCCTGGGCGTACCTCTCTGGCAGCTTTGGGGCTTGAAGCTACACTGGAAGAAGAAGGTCGGCGTCGCGCTGATGTTCTGCGTCGGCACATTTGTCACTATTGTCAGTATCCTGCGCCTACAAGCCTTGGTGCACTTTGCCGCTTCATCGAACGTGAGCTGGGAGTTTTATGATGTTTCGATGTGGAGCTCTATTGAGATCTGCGTTGGCATCATGTGGTAAGTTGTCTACTCGTACTCATATATCGCATGTATTAACGTAACTACCAGCGCCTGCCTTCCAACCCTCCGTCTTCTCCTGGTCAGACTCTTCCCCATTCTGGGCGGCTCATCGGCACGCAGCCGTCAATACTACAACTACGGCAGCAACAACGAACTCAGGAACGTCAGTCAAAAACACAAGTCGTACAACTTGGGCACGGCTATATCGAGCCCGCGTTCAGAGTCGTTCGATACGAAAGTGGAAGATGGCATCAGAGTCAAGACATCGTATCACGTGAAGCACAGCCATAGTCACGGAGACACAGATGAGGCTAGCTTGGTAAGCTATGAGGGAAAGCAGAGGCCATAGTTTCGCATCCGATATAGTAATGATCATGATTATTTCGCACTACCTGACGCTCCCCGCATAAACACATGTTACCTAGGTACTTTGACGACTGCCTCTGCCGGTGCTGAAACCTATTCGAGACGAACTTTACCTTCAAACAGCTACTTGCCAAACGTAACTTTCCACACGCGTGGTAACTGCCGTGATCGACAGGTGCTGAAGCACCCACCTCTCGTGTTTTCGGTCGACCCATCAAAGGGTAACGCAGATCACCGGAGTATCACCGAAATCCTCGTGGAAGATCACACTAGTTCCACGTGTCGGCGATCTCTGTATGCGATTGCGACAAGGTCTAAACGGCGAACGGTCGGTGGCCTTATTCATTGCACCATCTAAGTATTATGATAATTTCAATCACGGCGACAGGTTCCGTAGATGGCGTCTCTCAGGCATCCCTTCAAGTGCTGCCATCTCCACAACACGAATCATCTCGTATCCGCAATGATGGCAAACCCGGCCGAGCTGCGACGGGCTTTCGCGGTAGAATAAAACCGATGCGTCGTAATTCTGCGATAGTGTGTGGTACGGCAGAGCTACGGGTCCGATGTGGGCCCGATCTCTGGGTAGCCGATTGTCGGCTGTCCGCAGATGGAGGCTGTTAGCAACGACTACTTAATGCTAGCGATGGCACTTGTCTTCTGGAAGGAAGACTAGTTAAGGAGGGATTACTCGAAATTAACCTGGTCCATTTTCAACGTCCACCACCGAATCGGCGCACTTGCCAAGTTTTGTGGCAGTGGCACGTGCCCTGCGAATACGTTACAGTGGCTGAGGCGACGTCGCATTCAACAAGCAAGGCGCTTGCCGACGTTGCGCTCACGACCTCGACTCGGATGAAGACTATGCCCCGCGAAACCTGGAAATACAACGATTCACAAATTCGTCTTTGCCGTTTTGCCGGGACTGAACATCGTCATCAACATCACAGCGGCGATCGCGCGACGCATTGCGCCTCTGAATAACGCCTAAAGTTTGCGCGCACGCATGCATGCTCTCGGCTCGCACATCTAGCAATAGCGACTTGTCACTATGTGCCGGATGATCAAGTGTGATAGTCTCACGCGTGGTCATAACCCTATCCGCACTAGGTGTACTGGAGCAACACGTTTCAAGTGTCAACCAAACTTCGTAAAGCAACTAAAGAACCTACAGGAGAATGCCGAAAGCATGTATTGCATATCGGCATTGAAGCGAGCCCTGAAGGAAGATCTTATCGGCTCCTACTGAGCCTGGCTCCCGCATTCACATGACCCCGGGATTAAGAAATAGACTTTTACATCTGCGCCTCAACGCAGATCTCACAGTATACGAATGCGACACTGTAGTAAAATCCTCAAAACTGAGCCCGTACTACGGTTTGCAAATCCTGGAGATAGCGCTAACAACGGACGTCAGCAGTACTGGCACATCTTACGGTGCAGTACACGAAGATCAGCGATGACGTGGAAAGAGTGCACAGCACCAGACAACGTGCAGGAAAGAAGTGATGAACACTCGGAAAAGGAGCAGGCTTAGGGCACGTGGAAGAAACGCTTCACCTCGAAAGGGGTCTTTCACCAATTTGTAGAGAGTCTCTATCTCAAAGAGAAAACTCGCTTTCGCGATACCGATGTTCTCAGAATGTTATCGCCGTCGTCTCGACCCAGCTGCTGCACTTCCTTGCATATTCCCAAGTCACCGCGATCCCACAATTTTCTGTTACGGTGATGACTAAAGGGAAAAGAATGTTGCAAAGCTGCGCTTTAGATATCTTTGTAATCTCATAACATCTACGGGGACAATGAGGACCATGAACACGCTCACCACACGTTTGCGTCTAGCCGTGTGCCGCTTTAGGCAGCTCTGCTCTTCTCACTTTCATCGCAAAAATTCATTTCCTCGCTGCTTTCTACTGCATGACCTTTCTACCCTGGATGTACAACTCACTATACGC